TGCATTTAGATTATTAATGGGGGGGGGGGAAACAGCCTCTGACCTAGACATTCACTCTTGAAAAAAATCATAACCCAGCTGTACAATGCCAGAACTTAAAAGAACAGGTTGAAGACATTTTTAAATAGTTTACATGAAGAAAATGCTAGTTTTCTCATAGCTGCTCACAGCAAAGACCAAAGAAGGCAGCTGATTGTGTCCAGAATACACTGCCTAAAACAGACGCCTGGAAAATAAACTCTCATGCCAAACACTTACAAAGTTTAGTAGAGCTATAAGCAGTTGAAAAAAGCATCTCCTGGTAGGAAGTGTCAAGCTGTCTTAAAAGTCACACAGGACAAAGGCATAAAACAGATGTATTGTGCCATCTATACCTACTGCTGCTGTAACTCATATATATAAACTCAGCTGCTGTAGGATAACAGCATGCTCAAATCACTGCTCTAACGAGAGGGGCATAGTCAAGGGAGCACTGGTTAAACATTTTGCTTTGGGGATTTTTTTCAGTAAACATCCCTCTCCCTCTCACACAAAACTGGGGAAGTTATGACCCTGCTTTCCCTTCTTTTAAATATTTACACTTTTCAAAGATGCAAAGAACATTTTGTTTAGGGACAGAGGGAAGATTTTAATGGTTACGTGAAAATTCTAAGTTTGCAAAATGTTTATTCCCTGGGGTAAATACCCATCCCATTAAGCTAATGATCAAAGCTGATAAAAAGAGCAACTATGCTTCCCAAGAAGGATTTTGGGGAAGAGTGGAGTGGGGAGAATTACTTTGTTTGATAGTCCAAAAACCTTCTTTCTTTTGGTAAAAGAATAAAAAAGGAAACCTTTTCAGAGAATTCCTTTCCACCATCCCCAACCCCCACAATAAAAACAAACACACTAGTGCAAGTTATTGAAGGTCTAGATTTCTACACGCCTGCTATTTGTTACCTGGAGGGAGCCAGTGAGACTGCTGAAGAAATCAAGCACTGTTCATCAGAAAAACGGCAGAACTGAGCCCCTGACACTGTGTAATGACACTGTGTAACAACACCGTGCAACAACACTCTGCATGCCAAGCAATGTTAAATGGCACTTTTGCCATGCATTAACATTCAAAATAAATGTAAATCTCACGTTTAGTAGTACTAGAAGCTTTACAATGCTGCAAAAACATTTAAAATATTTCTAATCTTCTTAATAGGTATAAAAGATTTCAAGGCAGATTATGCTACCCCACTATCAAACCTACTTAAAATTAAGCTTTAAGACTCTGGTTTTCTTCATCTCTTTGTTAACCCAAAAAGCAAATCTAGTACTTGTATGAAATAAGTAATCACAGGCAAAACAAAAGCTTGATTGTTTGGTGACAAAGCCATCATTTTTTGGTGTTCAGTGATCTGATACCTTAAGATAACATGTTCCAAGAAAACAGAAGACAAGACACTCCTAAAACAGTAAAATGAGAAGGGCAAGACCGCAAGGTCTCCAGGACAAATATCCGTGTTGTATGTTTGTGCACCATCTAAGACACAGAGTCTCAACATGGAACCAGAAGCTGTATCACAATGAAATCACTAAGCAGTAACAGTCTTAACAGACTGAAACCACAGACCAGGTCATTCAGTCCACTCCCCAGATATTGCCAGTCTGCTTCCAGTTGCACACTTTAAGGGATAAAGCAAAAATCTTGAAATACGTAAGCAGAATCACTGTGCAAAAAAGTTTCAGGGTCAGTACCACAGAAATACTCCAGGTGCAAACACTGTCACTAGAGCTCTGTCCATCTGTTGTGATAATTGCCCTGCTTCTTACGCTTTCCCCAAGAGAAATGGTTGTGCCAGTCTGCACAATGATTTTATGACATGGACAGTCACAGCAGGAAAAAGTCTATTTTTAGATCTCGTCCTCTATCTGCTCACACACCATTTTGCTCCGGTATCAAGTCTCCGCTCACAATCTCTCTTCCACATTTACTATAGTCATCTCATTTGTAGTCTGGAAAACATCTCTATAAGCAAATGGCTAGACAAATAATGTGCTATGCTGTTCAAATTAAGAATTTATATGTGATCCTAGAAAAAGCTTTTTTACTGGAGATAGTAAACTAATATGCTTATAAAGGGTCACATGTAACTCACCCTATGAGCATAAACAGCTGGCTTTTACAGGCAATCTAGAGCCTTCCTCTGGTGAAATAATGAAACTGTATATGTTTACCCCAAGTTGCAAGAGAACACAGCAATCAGGTTCCTGAGCTGCCAAATGCAGACTTACAGAAAATATCAGGACATTTTTAATGTCTCACCTTTACATGTCTCACCAGTCAGACACGTAGAAGCATGAAATAAAAGTGTGATTCATGGGAAAGCCCAAATAAACAATCTGCTGCTGAACAGGAGTATGCTTCAGGCTCTACCACCGCAGTACACCTATGCCATTCACTGCCAGCTAACAGAGCAGTACCAACACTGCAAACACTTCTTCTGCAGATGGTAATACATTATTACAGCTAGACAACACCTTGCTTCCAAGTACACCTCGTACAAGAACTCATACCCCCTGAACAAACCTACTGTTAATACATCACACAAAATCCCTGTAGTAAGTACAAACATAGCCTGCTTGGCAGTACATCAACAAAGCATTTAGGCCATACCTGTGATCAGATTAGCAGTGGAAATTATGAGGAGGGAGTCCCTCCTGTGCAGGCAGCTTCCTAATTTTGCCACCAACCAAAAGGCGTATTTACCACCTTTGTAAAGGGGCAAACAGGGGTCATGCAAGTACAATCAAATTTTTTTTTTCCCCCATGGCATGGGTCTTGCAGAAACGCCAAATTAATTTCAAGCTTCTACAAATTCCTGAGCTCAAGTGCTCCCATCAAAAGCTCTTTGCAAGATTCCAGCTCCATTTTTTTGGAGTGACATCTATTACATTATGCTGTCAAGCATCAGACCACAGTCAACACCTGAGATATGCTGAATGAGGTCCAGCAGAGACACATGCTGGTATGGAAAGTACTAACAGAAGCTGCAAGTTTGCCCGAGTAACACAATTACTTTGGGAAGAGGTCACCACCTTACTCACCCCACCAAAAGAGCTAGTTTCTCTACTAAACATCAGGATTTCCCACCATAATAAAAAAAAAAAAAACCCTAAATGAGAAATACAAGCACTGACAATTTAACCAAACTTAAAGGGAAAAATAAGCAAACTACCCCCATTCAAATGAAGCATTCTAGTAAACAGTGGATATATTAAAAACTACAAAAAAACAGCAGCGTAATTGCAGATCAGGACAGAATGGTATGTCTTGGCCTACTAGTTCTAGTAGCATCAACATAGTTAACCTATTTGATTAATCTCCCACCACTACGGCTCCTATCCATCTGATGACATGGTAATTTGAACCTCACTTGCACTTTCACAAATATGGGAAGTCTTCATGGGAACTGCAGACTCAACATAAAAAAGGAAGTTCCTTTTAAAAGATGTCATTTCAGGAAAACACACAACACCTACACATACCCAGCAATACACTGACGTCTACTGCATCATCTGAAGAAATAACAACAAAAAAAGCCATATTACCTGGAGCATCAGTTCACAGTCATCTCTGCCAACAAATATCATCTCCCGAGGGAGCCGATGGCGAATGCCAGTGCTGCTCACCAAGAACCACGAAGTCACACTCATTTTGGCGCTTGACACTTAATCTTTATACATCCTAAACACAAAAAAATGTAACAAACAGTGAGCTATTAATGAAGCGTCGACGTACACCAGTGCATAGCTGCAGTTCCCAAATTTCCCTACACCACAGGACCCAGCACTGACACTTGCACTTTGTGTTCATGTCTTAAATTTCTTGCGGCAATCAGCAGTTGTTAAGTGTGTGCCAGGATCTGCTGCCCATGTGCCACATGCAGGAGCTCTGCAGCCCTGAAAATATTCCCACAGCACATAAGACTCAGGATCTGAAGAAAGAGTTGTTTAAAAAGTGAAACATGCAGCTGAATCCAATCAATGAAATGATCAAATATGCTGGGGAAGAAAAAAAAAAAAAAGACCTCTTTTCCAGAACATTTCCTTGTCGCTAGCACTGTGCACACAGATCACAGCTTGAGCTTCCACCATCATCAAAGATCTGGCCCAGCACATCAGTAAGGTGATATAACCAGGCTCCTGTAACCTTTCACAGTACACTCATAGGCGCGGTTACACCAGCGCTGGGAGGAGAATAGCCTCCTTATTGCTCATCCCACTTCCACACTGATGTAAATCGGGAGCCCACAGATCCTTCCTTCCTACCTCCCTCCCTCCTTCACTGCTTGAGCTGGTCCAAGCACCAACCCCCGGACAGGAAACATGGGCTGCAATTCCCATCGGAGGGTTTTGGTAGCATTGCCCCTCTTTGCCCCGCAACACGCAGAAGAACGAGCAGCTGTAACCTGCCCGGGCAGCAGCGGCGGGCAGAGCTTATCAGAACTCTCCCAGCCACACCTGTTTGTTGTGGCTGCTACAGCCCGGCTGCAGGCAGCCAGCTCCCGTGGCCTCGCCTCCTCCCTCTTCCACAACATTGCCTTTTCCTCTCCCTGGCTGGAGGAAAATGGAGTGTCACACATCAGGCTCTCGCCTTCCCCTCACCCACCTCCCTAGATCCAAGCTGCATTCCTAAATGCACCGAGGGAAAATCTCCATTTTATCTGGGCTGCGCGGCGCTCCACGGCCTGACTGCCCGCCTTCCCCTCCGCAGCAGCCCCGGGCAGGCGCAGGTGACACCAGCCGGGAGGCCGACTGACCTCCCCCGGCAAGGCGCAGGCCTGGAGGAATGAGAAGAGCCCGCTCTGGGAGCCGGCGGTACGGGCTTCCGTGCCCGTGTCACGACTTGCGAGCGGCCCCGACACACCGCTCCCGCCGCCCGGCCGTGCCGGGGAAACACCGCCTACCCCGACAAAGCGCCCGGGGGACGGGAATCGGGAGCCACCGGCTGAGCCCCGTGGCCGCTTCGCACCGCCCCGAGCCGAGCTGCAGGGGCCGGTTCCGTCCCCTGCCGGGCCCCGCTCGCTGCTGACGGGAGGTAAGGGAAGAGAGGAAGGGCGAGGAGCCGGAAGCGCCTAGGGGCCGCGGCGAGCCAGGTGTGGCGCGGAATCCCCATCCCCCCCCGCCACCGTCGGGCGACCGCGGCCCTTCATCTGCCGGGGCCCGGCTCCCCTTTCAGACCCCCTCCCGTCCCCCTACCTGCTGCGGCCTCGGCGCGGTGGCAGGCCGGGCGCCGCGCCCCGCCAGCCGGCTCTGCCTGCCCCGCGGGCCGCTCCCGGCGCCCGCCCCGCCCCCGCGCGGCAGGTTCCCGACGTCAGGAGGCGGCTCCAGCCGCTGGGCCCGGCCGCTGCCCCAACGCCCCCTTCACCGCGGCCCTGCGCCGCCCAACGCGGCTCCGGCGGTGCCCCATGCTGGCCCTCCCTGAGCGGCAGGTGTGGCAGCGCCCGACCGGGTTCGTGGTTCGACACCCCTCATCGCAGGCTTTTCGGGAGGCTCTCCGAACACAACTGTCCCTGACCTCGGGAGGCCTTACAGGCAAGCTCCCCGTCGTGGGGCAGGAGATGCTGCTGCTGTTAGGCACTGGACCTAGCCCCGGCGCTAGCCTCTTCTCCTACTCGCCACTGGGCTTCAGGAAGTAGCTTGACATCCATCTCCACTTATACCCCTCAGGTCCTCTTGCAGGGCAGTACCTAAAGGCAGTCAACAGGACTGAATTATCTCGAGGACCTGGCTTTGGACTAGGAGCCTGAAATAGGTGCTGTGAAAAGATGTGCCATTTTATGGGTTCTATTTACATGTAGGTAACCAGAAAACCTCTGAAGTGCAGAGAGCAATGACCGCTTTTTCCCATCGGGAGAAAGACTGAGTGTTATGGTAATGGATACAACTATTTGCTGATGCAAGAACTTTTTCAAGAGAGCTTTCAGCGCATGCAGAAGTCAGTGGAAATGGAAAGAAGCAGGAGCTTTGCGTTGGCTCTCTTGTTCCAGCTGTCATGGACTGCTAACAAAATACTATAGGAAGACAGCAAGTTCATATAGATATTTCCCCAGGCCCATACTGCAGCTGGAAAGGTGCCTTTGCATTTGTATGCTGTACATTCAGTGTTGAATAGAATTTCTCAGTCACCTGCAGGAGCTTGCTTTTGTGTCTTCAGTACTCTTATTTAGAATTTTGGCTCAGGATATAGCCTTAATGAAGTCTGATGTCATTTGAAACCAGAGGTCCAGTATGCCACTCACTGGGGACAGTCCATCACTCCGCGGGCTCACTTCTGGACTACAGTCTTACTGGAAAGCTGAGGAACCAAGGATGGTGTATTCAGCAAGCTGCAGCAGACTGAGGGAAGGAGGGAAGGAAAACAGCATTTCTTCTTTTGCCTCCTCTTTCTGAAGAGCAGTAGGACTTTGTTATTATTTAAATAATAGTGTTAATTCCTTCTTTAATAAACATTTGACTTGTTCCTGGCAAATACATCATGCTCCAGGGTGATTTCAAGGTGTCATTATCTTCAAAGGCTTCAAAGCTGGCTGAGGCTGCAGCATCCGTGTTTTATTGGTATCTCCCTGGAGCCGAGCACCACACCCTTGCAGCATGCCATGTCCCTTGGATGCCAGGCAGGAGGAAGGAATGAGCAGCCACCACTTCCGGGGCACTTTGAGGGCTTTTGCATTGTGCACTGCCATGAAGTAGTAGAAATACTTTTTAAGTAAAAAAGGACTTCACCCTTATTTGCCAGATAGTCCTGTCATTGAGTGATGGTTTATTATTGATTGAACTGACCTATAGCTTAAGTTTTAATAAATAGTATTCATTTACTTACTTTTTTCTGAGCAACACCTAGTCACTGGAGAGGCTGCCCTATAAGCCAATCTGTAGAGCATCTCAATACCGGTGAGAAGAAGTAGGATAATTTACTTCTTTATACAAGCCTGCCATCTAGGCAAATCTTTATTATGAGTTACTATAAAAAGGTTACTGTTTGCTTTAGTCTCTCCTTAAGCCCGTTTTTACCATTCAATTATACATGTGTATTTAACTGAGCAGTCACTTGCTATGTATAAAGAAGAAAAATCGTTCCTGTTCCTACCACATCTTCTGATCCGATTGAAGATGCAGGTTAGGCCAATACTCTGGGCCACGCTGAATGTTGCATTACAGCCTATTTATTTTATTCCAGTGATCTAAAAGGAATAAAAATGAGTGTTTCCTTCTTCTCTCTCCTCACCCCTCCCAGTATACTGTGAGAGCATCAGGGGCTACAGTATAGCCTGATGCTACATTGTCATCTTTAAGTCCCAGACAGAGAATATGCCTGTGGGAAACAGCAGCTGTACTTCAGTTTTTACTTTTCTTTTCCTATTGGAACAAACCCTTTTGGCAGCAACTGCAATCTTTGGGCTGCTCAAAAACACAGGCTGACCAAGCACACAGTTGCTTTTGAAAATACAATATTATAGAAGTGTCTTAAAATCATCTCTTCTCACTGGGAGAGGGGAAGACCTGGGAAAGGCCTCAAGAAGCTGAGCGCAGCAGCAGCAGCACAATGCTGCTCATGTTAAGTCTGTGACAGAAGGTGCTTATCATGCAAATCGCTCTACATTCATCTGCAGTGCTGTCACCTTCAAGTACAAAGGACATGGCCACAGCTGTATTAACCTGCATGACCCAGGTGGCAGGAGTTTCACTGTACTGTACATTGTACAAATGCAGAGTAAGGATCAGTCCCTGTCATGAAATACCATATTCCCAGCAAGCAAGGAGATTGAAGGTGTGATGCAGAAGAATAACAGCAGGTCACAGGGGTATAGGAAATCCAGATTTCCTGTATCCAGAACTGTTGTCCCTGCCCATGGCAAGGGGGTTGGAACTAGATGATCCTAAGGTCCTTTCCAACCCTAACTATTCTATGATACTATAAATCAAGTCATCTGCTCTACTGAAATACCTTTTTTCTGACAGCCTGAATCCATAGCCATCACAACTTGGAGTAGAATCGCTTTGGATCCCTGCTTTAAAACAAAAATCCCACCATCCCCAGAGGAGCTGAACTAAATCAAGCTCTTTGTGCCAGGCTCTGATGTAAGAGAGGTTTTTGACAGAGTTCCCAAACATGAACAATCTTGCAGCATCTTGCTGCAGAGCAGACTTCTGTTCCAGACTGATCATAGCCTGATCCAGATATCCCCTGCGGCTTCCCCCTGAAAGGCAGTTTTCCCTGTGCATGGACTAAGGGAAAGAAATCTCTTTGGTTATTGCTTACATATTGACATGATAAGTAACTTATAAGTAAAGATGTGCAGGACTGCTAGGTGAGCTCTCCCCAGTTAACCCATCACAGGCTGGCTGAAATCCAATATGCACAGCTGCATGTACATATATTAACAGGCACGTGTGCAGCTCATGAATTCCTGGCTTTGCATCAAAGAGGCTGTAGAAGTAGTCATCAGGCACTGTTCCCCAAGATTATTTCATTTGTTCTTTGCTAATGTACTTTTAGATGCATCGGGAGAGGTTTACAAGTAGGCCGCACAGGATTTCTTAACCCCCTTCTTCACTTGGACAGATTTTGCTCCCTGGTGATGACTTTCTTTCCCAGAAAGCCAAAATTGCAGCCAGGCCAGTTCTTCGGGCCTTGCTGCAGGGAACTGTGCACTCCTGGCTTGTGCCTGCAGTGCTCTCACTTTGGATCAGGATTTCTGCCTTGATTTTTAATGGGAGCAGGAAAGATCTGTGGACTTTTGCAAGGTCTGCAGGTCTGAACATGTGTCCTTTTTACAGCTAATGGGCTTGTTGGCTGCCAACAGAAAGTGCAGGATCAAGCCCTTTCCTATAGAGCCTGAGACCAAACCTTTTCATCACTGGTTCTGGGTATCAGCACAAGCTGGATCATCATAAAATGCCGATAATCCCCCTTTTGGATATTGTTATTTTTAAATGCTGTTTTGCAAATCTTTCCCTTAACTGCTTGTTTATTTCTTGTTGGTTGATTGATTTTTAAATGACTAGGTAATTGTCAAGAACATGGGTATTTATCTTAATTTTAGCTATGCTGATGTAACAACATCACTGAACTGAGTTTGGACCAGCAAAAGCAATCTGCCCCTCCTCTCTGTCTAAGCATCAATCTTTTGCTTTGCCTGATATCTCAGTCGTGCTGTTTGCCAACATTCCCATCTCCTGTAGAGCTGGGAACAGGCCCCAACCCTGCCTAGTCAACTGGAAAACAATAAGACCATTCATGTGCATGGTTATTCACTGGCATAAATGTTTGCAGAGGTACAGTCTGACTGGGACAGGCCCCTGTCATTTGGATGGTTCTAGAAGATGGCTTTTTACAATACTAGTATTTTTAACCCATTTATTAGCTAGCTATAGGGACAGATTAGCTGGAGCAAGGTAGCATTGCTCCAAACAGCTTCAGTTTGGCATCCTTGGTTTGTACCAGCTGGAGAATTTTTCCTGTATTTTTCTTTTTTTTACCCACAACATAGTGCTATGCATCAACATGAAATTTAATTTTACTACTGTGGAATTCACTGAAATAAAACCCTGTATGTGTTAACATTTCTGTTCAGAATTTGCAATATGGGCCTTCTCCAATCATCTTCTTTCATTCCTGTGCTATGCCACATAAATTACTTTCTTTTTGTTATGTAGCTGAAATCATAGAGCTGTTTTTAATTTATGATGCTCATAACTCTGGGGGAGCAAGAGGAAATATCAGTGCAATAAAAGAGTGAAGCTGGTGTACTGTGAACATTGCCAGAATGTCTCTTCTAGGATTTGTGTGATATAAAATTTTGCTGAAAGAATGAAAGCATATGCTTAACTGATCTAATTTTTGGCATTTTTAATTAGTAAAAGCTCAGCAATGATGATGTCATGGAGTCTGATGAGATTAGGTCAGATGATACATGGTTGTATGGTATGGCATCTTAAATAGGAATCACCTTATGGCAAGTTAAAACTGTTTCAGTATCACATTTAAAGAAATAGCTTCTTAGGGAAAGTTGGTTGGTTTCATAAGAGAAGCAGCAGGGTTTTGAGGACTCCTGTGTTGGAGAATGGGAACAATGGGCAGCTTCAGATTGTCTCCATTTCAGGGTTTTTTTCCCTCTTATTCATTCAATTGATTTTTGTGTATGTGCGTATTACATATGAGAAAGGTTGCAAGCCTGTTTAAACAGAAAAATTACTTCACCTGGCCTGGAGAATCCAATGGCAACATGTATGGCCAGAGGGCTGTGCTTTGCCCTCCAAACCATGAGTAAATTGTTTCTCCTGTTCCTCTGTTGTTATTATACTGCTAAGTTAGGAATAATTGGTTGAATACCAGAGGTGCAAGATTTCCTTAAGCAGTTTTGCTCCAGTAACCACCTCTTTTCCTTTCTTTCCCCTAGTACTCTGCTCATACACTTGCACATTTTCAGACCCAGCCCAAGGTTTGTTTTGAGAGTATATTCATTGTAGACTCTGTTCCATGCAGCTGATCCACTGTTAACCTGTGTGAAGGGTCTTCTTGCTCACTGATACATAAACTGCACAAAGCTGCTCCTTGCCTGAGAGACTTATTTAGACAAGACTTAGAGACTTCACAACCAGTGAATGATAATTCATGAAAAAGAAGACACTTCTCTATATTTTGATCACATTAATATGTTTTACTGGAAATGCAAGACTGCTGAAATTTCTTAGCTGGCCTTATAAATAAGGAAAATAAATAAAGGAGATTTTAGGTTACCACAGACAGTTGCATCATTAGAGGATTCATTTCTATTGTCTCTGTAGCCAAGTGTTTGCTATACTGACTGGTACTAGATCATACTGTTCCAGTTTCACGAAAATGTCAGTTCTGCTTGAAACTATCTTTTTGTTTTCTTGCATTCTATTGCTTTATAATTTTTGCCTGCAAGATTAAAAGCTTTGATGAAATATTTAACAGATACATTAAAAAAAATTGCATAGTTTCATTTAAACTGAAGGATATATCTACAGTAATATCCAATGTATTGGCAAAGGCCTCACAGGAAGAGAAAATTCATAATTTGCTGGCCTGCAGGGAATAATTTATTAAATCCCCTGGAGATTCACCTGTTTTCTGCCCTGTGAAGTTAAAACTGTATTTCACAGTCTTGACCTTCAGTGATTCTCTTTTTTCACTTGAAAACGGTGAAGAACGTTATGAATATGGATGAAAAGGTCAGCAGTGTCAGGACAAGACAGTCTGCTTCTATAGGGTCAACTGCAGGGGCAACTTTAGTAATTTAGAGCATACAAGCTATCAGTTGGAGATTTATATGCTTGCCAGTCATTTTATAAGAACTCATTAGAGCAATATTTATTTCTTTGAGGAAAACAGCTGGATTAGCAGCACCATAGGAGAAGACCAGTATTTTCAAGTTGTAGTGGATTCATTACATGCCAATTCTTAAAAGCTTCAGGATACTTTGGGATAATCTTCTTTAGTCAGCAGGTGCATGAACTCCCATGTGTTCCACATTCATTACATTGTCTTAAAACTCTGCAAAATATGCGTGTTAGCTAACTGCACATATGTGCTTGAGGCTGTCCTTCTCACTACAGATTTTAGAAGAGAAAGCTCCATTTGTTCCAGGTAAGTAGAGCAATCCCTACTGAAAAAATCTCTTAGGTACGCTGGGCACAGATCATAGTCATTTCAACACTCCTGGCAAGTCTCATGTGGCAGGGTATTTCCATGCTGATGAAATTAACTCCTGAAAATGAGTTGTGGGTAGGTGAGATAATTGGCTGAGGAAGGCAAAGTGACATCTGAAGAAAAGCCAGAGGTACCACAGTGTTAGTAACCTGCCAATATGAAGCATACTTCCTACACACACAGGCTGCTTTGTTTAAATTGTCCAGAAGAGACTCAGAACACCTCTCACCTCCACTAAGTTTCACTACCTTGCAGTATTTTTTGAGATGAATAAAATTCTGTCCCCTTTCAATACATATACCTATAGGATGGATGCCTGCTGGGAGATAACTGCCTTTGTTAATAATCAGCTTCAGTGTCTGGGGATGAGCTGCATTTTCTGCAGGAAAAGCTTTAGCAAAAACAACTCTGAACTGGCTGCATCTGGCCACTGCAGACAGAAGGACCATGTTGTAGTTCACTGACCAGATCTAATATCAGAGCTTGTAGGAGCTTTCAGAGGAGGGTCCAAGTCATCAACTTTGACTGATACCTCTCCTTTCCCTGGGGCACAGATCTGTGCAGGCTTTCTCTTTTTCAAAGACTTGCTTTCCGAGGCACTAGTTCCAGAGAAAAAAGGAGGCTGATAACACCAGCAAGCAGTATCTCTAGGAAACTGCAGCACCAGTCACTGTTGGTCATATATGCCCAGCAGCTGAGCACTTAGGGATGAGAAGGGGTTACACTACTAAATCTCACTAAGGAGCTGTAGCCATTCTTTTTATTTCTCACTGGGACTTGCAGAATAGGTTCTGCATCACATCATAGGGCAGGTGATGTGTTCTTCACAGCACATTACCACCTCACTCATGTCTAGCTTCATTTTGCCTTTGCCACTAGTTGCTACAGGTCAAACATCTTTCGGGATCTTGAAAAAACATCCTAGAGCTTTGTACCCACTCACCACGAGTTAACTTTAAATACAGAAAAGTTAATTAGCACTGTACTTTATCTTAATATTCATTCTCTATGGTTGTTTTCTCCACACTACATTAGATATTTCTGAGTATTGGGCCTGCATATACATCAGCTCGAACACCTAGTGGAGAACAGAGGAGCCAGCACAGCAGAGAGGTGCCATGAAGAGGTTCTCCAAATGGTGTGGTTGAGACTGGACAGTCAGGAAAAAGCAAGTTTGAAAGAAAATGCAAGGAGAGCAAGAAAAAGCTGAGGACTGTAAACCTAGGTGTTGTACAAGACTGAGAGGTAGCAACAGCAAGTGGGATATAAGAGTTGTCCCACTTTGCAGCTATTTTCCCTCCTGTCATATTTGGTGCCCATGTAGATTGCAAGTGTTTTGAATCAGGGACTGTCTTCAATGTTTTTTTCGTACTATGCATTCAGCTTCTCAGCACTCCTCTAATACAAATAATCATTCACCAGAAGCTGGTCAGAAAAAAAGAAACTGAGTGACATCTTTTAGTCAAATGATCGTATTTATAACAAGTCATCTTATTAACATAAGGAGAAGATGAATAGGAAATTCTCCAGTGTGTAGTTTAACTGATCTTATGATCCATTGTCAGCCATAAGCTGATTTCTCAGGACACATCTGGACAAGGAGAGGAGCTGAGGTTAACCTCAAGCACTCTGTGGAGAGCTCACTGTTCCTTTTCACAGTGAATTCAGCAAACTTTATGCAAATATCTTTTGCAAGTATTTGAAGGTAGGAAAAAATGTAATACAATACTGTCCTGGTGGCACAAAAGGACTTTTGAAATCTCCAGTTAATACCTGAAAGCATTTTGAACACTGCCTAGTGCATTGGCCAATTATTTGCCAGGTTTCTTTTTTCCATCCTGCAGGATAAAGTCATGCAGAAGTATGGCTTAGGCTTCCTTGCCCCTACAGATCTGCCTTTCCAAATGGAAGTGGGCACAATAGCTTTCAGAAAGGTGACATTTCTGCTTTGAAAAAAAAAAAACAACCAAAAACCACACACAAACCCACCCAAAATAGCTACCTTTTAAAATACGCTTTTTCTTTTCCCTTAGAGAAAAAAGGGGATGAGAGCAACTGTATCATTCCTAGTGCACCACAGAGCCCCACACACAGTGAATAGGAGGAGAGGCACTGTGCTGGTGCAGCCGGGGTACTCCCACTGCCAGAACCCTCAAGCAGCAGGAGCACAGCCGCCTCCCTGCTGCCCCACTCACAGCAACACGAAGCTTGGGCCCAAGAGAGCCCAGTAAGAGAGAAGTCTACCTGATGCAACACAACCCATGTGAAGCAATGTCGATACCTTCAGAGCCTTAACCACAAGATCAGGTCATAGATCATAGATATTCACAGTGGCAGCAATGATGTCATTGGCCATTGAGCATGTCCTCATGGTGCATTTTCATAACTGTGCCGTTTCTGCACTGTGCCATCAGAGTTAAGTCATTTTCTTCTGTTTCTGAGCTACAGCTGGTTAATTTTTTACATTAGAAGCACTTAAAGCGGATGGTGCATAGAAACCAGCTTTTAAAAACATTATATGAAAGATGCCTGCTGTTGTAAGATAAATTTAAGAACACAATTGACTTAAGAAAAGTACCGTGCTGCCTTTCAGACTAATTTAAAACTTGAATTGCAGCCATTTTTACCTTTAACAAAATCGATAAGACCGTCTGCTGTGTTAGCCATTGCCCATTTTAATCTTTGAAGTTGTTTTGGCAGTCGGTAGGAAAAGATCCCAACATCTGGGAGGCTGAGTTCAACCCTGAATATCCCTTAGGATTTCAGTGGGATTTTCATATTGCTGCAGTCTTGAACAATCAGGTCCTAAATCAGTCACAAGTACATTAACTAGAACAGGGCAATAAGCTGGCATTTGGCTCTAGTTTATGTTTGAAATGATGCTCGCTTCAAAAGCATTTTCATGACTAGATGGAAACAGTAAATTTGTTGATGATGATGTGAAATGGACTGAGGTGTTCAATAAATATTTTTGTTCTGAATTTGGAAACAAGAATCATGCACTGATGTCATAAGGACAATGCACTTTCCATCCCATTAGTAACCAAGGAGGCTATTAAACAGCATTGCTAGAGATAAACAGTATTACCTTAACAGGTCCAGACAACTCACAACTCACAACTGAAACTCATCCTCACAACTGAAATGAATTGTCTCAGGAGATCTCTGACGCACTACCACTTAATCTTCTATGAAAATGTTTTAGAGGACTGAAGAAATGCTGCATTTTTGGTAAATAATAAAAAAAATATAAAAAAAATCACTAGGGTAATGTAAGTAATTCTAAGCCAGTCAGCTTAGCAATGCTGGGCAAAGTAATGAAATGCTAGTATAGAAGTCAGCAAATAAAGAATGTCAGTGAAATAATCAATAAGATTTACAGGGAAAAGGTCTTGTGAAAGAAACCTGATTTTCTCTTTACCTTAAATTATTGGTTTGGTTGATAACAGATACTAAAAAGATGTAAGATATTTGCCTTTTGTACATCACTTGATTGTTTGCAGTACTATCATAAATTACCACAATAACTAATAACACTCAAGTACCAGATAAGTGAATTAAGAACTGACGAACTGGCAAGTCTTAAGTAAAATACAGACTTTGGTGAGGACTCAGCAAGAAACAGAGGGTCCTGATGTTTGCTGGAAGGACCACTCGGCAACCCAGCCGCAGTCCAGGAGGTTCCTCCAGTGTATGGATGATAACTTCCTCCTGCAAATGGTGGATGAGCCGACCAGGAGAGGAGCGCTGCTGGATCTCATCCTCACTAACAAGGAGGGTCTGGTTGAAGCAGTAAGGGTAGAGGGCTGCCTTGGTTGCAGCGACCACGAGATGGTGAAGTTCAGGATCTTGTGTGGTAGGACTGGTAGAATACCAAGTAGAATTGCAACCCTGGACTTTAGCAGGGCAAACTTTGGCCTTTTCAAGCAATTGCTAGGGGAAATCCCATGGGCAAGGCTGCTTGAAGGAAAAGGGGCCCAAGATAGTTGGTTGACATTCAAGGACTGCTTTTTCCGTGCTCAAGATCGGAGCATCCCGACACGTAGGAAGTCAAGGAAGAGGGCCAAGAGACCTGTGTGGCTAAATAGGGAATTGCTGGGTATGCTCAAGTGGAAGAGGAGAGTTTACAGGTCATGGAAGGAGGGGCTGGCCACTTGGGAGGAATATAAGGCTGCTGCTAGGGGATGTAGGAAGGCAGCTAGGAGGACTAAGGCTTCCTTAGAATTAAACCTGGCAAGAAGGGTCAAGGACAGCAAAAAGAGCTTTTTCAAGTACATGGCAGACAAAACTAACACCAGAGGCAATGTAGGCCCACTGATGAATGGGATGGGTGCCCTGGTGACAGAAGATGCAGAGATGGCAGAGTTACTGAATGCCTTCTTTGTCTCTGTCTACTCTGCTGCAGGCAGTCCTGAAGAGCCCTATACCCCTGAGACCTTAGATGAAGTCAGGTCGACGGAGCGACTTGCCTTAGTCGATGAGGAATGGGTTAGAGATCAGTTGAGCAATCTGGACGTCCATAAATCCATGGGTCCAGATGGGATGCACCCGCGGGTGCTGAGGGAACTGGCGGAAGTCATTGCTAGACCACTCTCCATCATCTTTACCAAGTCCTGGGAAACGGGAGAGGTGCCTGAGGACTGGAGGAAGGCAAATGTCACTCCGGTCTTCAAAAAGGGCAAGAAGGAGGACCCGGGTAACTATAGACCGGTCAGCCTCACCTCCATCCCTGGGAAAGTGATGGAACACCTTATCCTTGGTGCCATCTTAAGGCATATCAAGGATAAGAGGGTTATGAGGGGCAGTCAACATGGCTTCACCAGGGGGAAATCATGTTTGATCAATCTCTTAGCCTTTTATGAGGAAATAACACGGTGGATGGATGATGGCAGAGCGGTGGATGTGGTCTACCTTGACTTCAGCAAAGCATTTGATACAGTCTCCCACAGCATCCTCACGGCTAAATTGAGGAAGTGTGGACTGGATGACCAGGTAGTGAGGTGGACTGCGAACTGGCTGAAGGAGAGAAGCCAGAGAGTTGTAGTCTATGGGGCTGAGTCTAGCTGGAGGCCTGTAACTAGTGGAGTGCCTCAAGGGTCAGTACTGGGACCGGTATTATTTAATATATTCATCAATGATTTAGATGAGGGAATTGAGTGTACTATCAGCAAGTTTGCTGATGACACTAAGCTGGGAGGAGTGGCTGACACGCCAGAAGGCTGTGCTGCCATCCAGCGAGACCTGGACAGGCTGGAGAGTTGGGCAGGGAATAACGGGATGAAATATAACAAGGGAAAGTGTAGAGTCCTGCATCTGGGCAGGAACAACCCCAGGTTCCAGTATAGGTTGGGGAACGACCTGCTAGAGAGCAGTGTAGGGGAGAGGGACCTGGGGTTCCTAGTGGACGACAGGATGACCATGAGCCAACACTGTGCCCTTGTGGCTAAGAAGGCCAATGGCATCCTGGGATGTATTAGAAGGGCGGTGGTTAGTAGGTCGAGAGAGGTCCTCCTTCCCCTCTACTCTGCCCTGGTGAGACCCCATCTGGAATATTGTGTCCAGTTCTGGGCCCCTCAGTTCAAGAAGGACAGGGAGCTGCTGGAGAGAGTCCAGCGCAGGGCAACCAAGATGATTAAGGGAGTGGAGCATCTCCCTTATGAGGAAAGACTGAGGGAGCTGGGTCTCTATAGTTTAGAGAAGAGGAGACTGAGGGGTGACCTTATAAGTGTCTATAAATATATAAAGGGGGAGTGTCACGAGGATGGAGCCAGGCTCTACTCAGTGGCAAACAATGATAGGACAAGGGGTAATGGGTACAAACTGGAACACAAGAGGTTCCACTTAAACTTGAGAAGAAACTTCTTCTCAGTGAGGGTGACGGAACACTGGAACAGGCTGCCCAGGGAGGTTGTGGAGTCTCCTTCCCTGGAGACATTCAAAGCCCGCCTGGACGCATTCCTGTGTAACATTATCTAGGTGTTCCTGCTCTGGCAGGGGGATTGGACTAGATGATCTTTTGAGGTCCCTTCCAATCTCCAGCATACTGTGATACTGTGTGATACTGTGATACTGCAGCCAACATCGCCTTGCTGCTTTTTCTAAGGTGAGTGGTTTGTGCACTTTGTGTAAAACTGACTCCAATTAAGAAATGGGGATGTCACGGTTTGCAGGCATGCCACCTGGAGCTGGTTTTGTACCACTGCCTCCTCTGCAACTGGCTATGAAAATTCATGATCATGTAACTGAGCTGCAGCTGGTCCTTCCACGTTCCCAAAGTCCAGAGCATGTGCAGGGTAGCAGCTCAGCCCTGGGCCCTCTCTCCCAGAAGGGAGAGTGGAAGAAGGGACAAGTGATGTTCCGACATAGAAGAAAGTTGATCTGAATGACTCCACTTAGGCACCTGTCCAGAGTCCCACATCCCCCTCTGGCCCTCTCAGATCAGGAGATCACCTGCTGGGTGGAGATGGGCCCTTTCCTCTCATGCACTGCTCCTGAAAGCCTCCCAGTCCTGTGTGCCATGGTCCAGCTTCATGAACACACTGGAGCACAAGAGACTCAGCATTTGGGATTCTGGTTTTCAGTTACCAAAGCAGTCATGCTGGGAGTATTTAGCACAGCTGAGCAGTTTGTGTGTGCTCTGATGGCTTTTGCTAGACAGTGTAAAAGTAAAAAGCCAAGAAGTAAATGTGGAGATTTTAACATACATAAACAGCAAGATGGAACATCCCTGAGAACTTACATGTTAAATTCCTCTTCTGGGGAAAAAGAAGGGCAGGAGAGGTTTTGTAGTAATAGATCTCTCAAAATCTATTTATGTTAGCAGAGGGTCTGACCACGTGCATTTATTCTGCTCTGTGTAATTACTGCTTTTGCCTCCTGGTAATTGTTTTACTATCCATGAAGGATTAAAAAGCCATTAACCTGGAAGAGAAAAAGAAAAAAGCAGGGACATGTGAGAAAGACTTTGAACAACAAATTCATTCACCAGTTAGAAACAAAGGTGCATGTTAAGAAGATTAATTAATAAAAAGTCTGTCTCAAGGCAACTTCTGCTTACTACTAATGGATACCATGAAAATTCATAAATTCACTGCTCCCGACAAGAGAATTTGCTGACTGCTGTGTGGGACTGCACCTTCCTGCTCCTTTGCAATGGAAATGTAAGGGATGGCCAGAAAAGCCCCTCATTCAAGCAAAGGGGTAAACTCCTGCTGACTACAGCAAGGCAAGTTTTTACACTCTGTGTCCTTGTCTGTCAGGGACACACATCCCCCCTGCTCAGGGAAAGGTTTAAACTGCAGCCTTTGCTATTCGAAGGGAAACTTAAAGCTCTTGACCTAAAATTAGCCCTGCCAGCTGCGTTTCGGGCAGCACACCAGCTTTTTCTTTGCTCTTGATGTGGGGCAGGAATGTCCAGACTACAAAGGTCTCCGATGCCCTGGGGACCTGCTCCCATTGCGGGCAGACACGCACAGGGAGAGCAGGGGGGAGATGGCATGTGATGAGCAAGAGACCCAAGAGCTCACCATGCTCTGGGAAGCTAGAGCTTCCCTGGGAGTGGCTGTACCCATCAGGCAAGGGGCCATGTACGCAGCAGTGCCTCTGGCCACAGCTAAAGTAAATTCGTGGAGTAAATGCAAAAATACCCACTACCTTTGGCATGGCCCAGCTGCCAGCCATTCACAGCCCAGGGGCTTCCTGAGGCATGTGTGGTTTCCCTCTGCTAAACAGCCTTCTGCCCAGCCTCTCCCTGAACTCAGGATAACTTTTATCCTTTGCAATATAATATTGCACTAAAGAGACGGAACACTGGCCATGTTTCGCCTTCCTTTACCAGGCTACAGTGGGCTCCCCAGTATCAGTGGAGGCAGAGTGGATTTAGGACACTCATATTCTAAAGGTTCAGTGGATTTGAAGGCTGTTATATATCAGCTTGCACTGAGTTTTCCTTCAGGTCTTCATACAGTCACTATGATTTTTTGGCTCTAAGCACTAGTGATTCACCTGAATTGAGTCATGCACAAGGCAATGCGGCTCTGGAAGGCTTCCCACTGCAATTGCTGTGGTCAGCAAGTCCATGAGGTGAGTACAAAGGATCTTGCAACTGAAAAGCCTTCTAGGGAAAAGGAGAGGCTTAAAAGAAGTTGAGCAGTCACCTGCACTGATCACAACCATAGAGTTTATAAATCAAGTTTAGCTCCTTTGCTGGAGAAAAGCAGCTTCTGGATATCTAAGACTTGAAGGGAGTGGCATAGATAGAAGATTAGGTCTGGGGGCCAGTGCTGCGTGTTGGGAAGGTAGGATGGATTTCCACAAAAATGACAGAAGCCAAGGAGCCAGAGAATAATAGAGGAGTGACTCCAGAGCCCACCCTCCTGCAGCAGGCATAGGGCAAATAACATAGGCTGGAGGGATGGGTAAACCCCGGTTAGAAAGGTGGAAGACAGAGATACCAAGAAGGCAGCAGAGGCAGCACCACCTCAATATCTAAGGAGAAAACTGGCAGTCAGTGCTGCAGGTGACATTACTACTTAAAACAAAGAGTTGAAGGAAATACAGCATTCACCAGCACCTGGGGTCCAATGACTGGCAGCTAAACTGCTGCTCTTTTCAGTAGGGAGTGATAGAACATAGCAGGGCATTACAAGACTATACAGGAGATTGGATAAACAACTCCAGCAAAACCTCCCCTCACCACTGTTACGCAGCAGCTCTAGTATCTTGATCAAGTATTAGGAAGAGGCTTTCTACTCACCAAATGACACATCATTTGGCCCTATCTGTGTCTCTTCATGATACACATTTTTTAAATGCTTCTACTATCCATACTGTCATACTGAAGCCACTGTGTGCTATCAAGGTAGGATTGCAATAGGTTACACAGAGGATACAGGATCAGAGCAGTGCAGGAGGTAAGCAATTGCAAGTCCATGGGCAAATACTCACACACGCACTCCCAATGCACAGAACCACCCCAGCTGCAGATGGGAGGTCATCAGTCCACAAAACTTAGCAACCTGCAATTCAGGTAGCATCCTGAACAGGCAAAATCCAGAGTGGCCTTGGTGATATGAACATTTCTGGTTTGATTTTCAAGATCTGTGCTGCTTTAACCTGTTTATCTTCTGTATAGTTCTCTGACCTGATGTCCTGGGTTCAGCAGTAGCAGTCATTTTTCCCCTTCTTGGTAGCTGGTGCAGTGCAATGTTTTGACTTTCATCTCGGGAACGGAGCTGATAACAAGCGATGTTTTGGTTTGGCCAAGGACTTTGTGAGCCTCATGCTCTGCCAGGGAGGAGGGAAGCTGGGAGGAAGCAGAGACAGGACACCTGACCCAAACTGACCAAAGAGGTATTCCATACCACAGCACGTCATGCCCAGGATGTAACTGGGAGTTAGCATTTCTGGTTTGATTTTCGGCTGGTGGTGAGATGATGTATTCTCTTCCCTTGTTATTTCCTTTATCATTATTATCATTGGTGGTAGCTGCTGTGTTACACCTGTTTATGTTCTTCAACCCGTGGGAGTGTTCCCGTCCCTCCGGGAGCAGGGGGAGGGCAAGAAAGGGGGGGGAAGTGAGCGAACGAATTACCTGACTGGGTTTAAACCACGACACCTGATTAAATCACAAGTCAGCAAAAGAGGTAAGCTCAAAATGATGGTGCATGCCCAGCAGTTCTCTTTAAGGTATTATAATAGAATACTTCCAGTTGGAAAGAATCTACAATGATTATCTAGTCCAACTGCAATATTTGCCTATGAAAAGCTATGCATGTTCTCTCCAGAGTCACCTGCCTTGCCCAGTAGGTACTCCCAGTACCTCCTTGTAGATTAGGCTTTACTCAGTTAGTTGTAGTTTTATATTCTCTTACTTGCAGTTTCATTACAAGAAGAGTTTATTTTAAAACTTGACATGCCAAGCACATGACTTAGATTGAATTTACTTAAGTTCTTTGATGCCAGTGAAGATGGCTTTCTGGGAAATCCTGCTTTATTGTGGCTTGAAATGGTGTAAAAGTCGACAGGGACCTGAAGCCTGAGGTGTAAGGACTGGGCCATATTCAGTTGCTCTGGGTTCATCCACATGCTCTTTCACTCCTTCACAATCAGAGGATCATGGAAGCCTTTTGAGGAAGAGCTTCACTGTGAGGGTGATTGACCATTGGAATAGAGTGTCCAGAGAGCCTGTGGAGTCTCCTTCCCTGGAGATATTCAAGAGCCATCTACACATAGTCCTGAGCAGTGTGCTTTAGGTTTTAGCAGGCAATGAGCCTGCTTGAGCAGAGAGGGTGGACTAGTTCACCCCCAGTGGTTCCTTTCAACCTCAACCATTCTGTGATTTAGGTTGGAAAAGACCCTTAAGGTCAGAGCCTGCTCTGAAGGCTCAGGCAATGAGAAATGGAAGGCAAGGGAGCATAGGTGGCAACTTGGCCTTCTCCATTTGATTATATGTCAGTGTCTGACTGAGGAAGGTGGGTCAAGTGTGGAAGAGAGGCAGCCATGAAGACCAAGATCCTGCCACATCTCACTGTATTGTTGAAACACAGCACATTGCTGGAGTTTCTGAAGAGAGTGGGTTGCCAGCATTTCTTTTCCCTTCTAGTCTGTCTTAGAAGTAACTGAAAAGAAACTTGGATTCAGTTCTGGGCTTGAGGCAAAGAGAGGATAGAGGGGGTTAACCAAAATGACTATGCCTTAAAACAAATATTACTAAGTGAAAATGGGTTTATGAGAGGAAGTTAGCAATAGCACTGCCAACCTCACCTGTAAAAGGTATTATGTCAACTTGTGGTTTCAGTCCTCTCTGAGATATGTAATAGGCTGCGAACTTGTTCTTTTGTTATTTGATCAGATCAAGAGATATTGATAAATAGGAAATCGTTTGGAGAGTGTCTAAATGAAATAAGGGACTTTAGGACTCCCTCATATAGTGGACTCTCCAAGTTCCTGCTTATGCTGTGATTCTTTCAGCTGTTTCAACACTAATTTCGTACAGTGCAGCACATGAATACCACCATGATTGGCTTTAAATACAAATACATAAATATTCGTATATACTAGTGTGCGCTTAGTTGAAAGGAAATCTCAACTGTAAAGAACCTTTGAGAATGTGAATTCTTTTTTTTTTTTTTTGAAAGCTAAATAAACTTGCTCTAATGCAGCCCACCAGTATAAGGCTGGCTTACCCCTGCCTAACCATCTTCCCTTCCAAAAATAAATGAAAGAATTATATTGAAAACTGTGCCTGAATGAAGGAGGGAGGTGGGTGAGGAATTACCTCTCATGTTGATACCAGTACAATTAAAGGGGTAGAAATAGAAACAGAAATTGCTTCTGCACCTGAATGACTGTGTCTGGGATGTGATACAGGGGTAAAACAGGAGCAGGGAATGCCTTAAAATGATCCTTTGAAGGCCATTCTTGCTGTGGGATACACAGATGGTAGTTCCTTTCAGAGCACTCACTCAAAATTGTCTTATTTGGCTTTCTTACTGCTCAGTATTTCATGTTCCTCCCTTGAAAAACAAATCCTCTCAAATGTCAGGTCCTTTTCCCTTCCCCATTTCTCCTTTTTTAGCATGGAGTTCCTTAGGTGTATTATAACGCTTAGCTACCTCCCAGGTTGAGCCTGGTCCTCTGTTAACCTCAGGCAACTACATCACAACACCCCGCATATATGCAGATCAGACTCTACCTTGAACATCACTCTAGGCTGCTCTTCCTAATACTCATCCCCACAAGGGCGGCCGAAACTCTGTTACTACTCCATGAGCTCAGGCTCACAGCAACTGAATTTTATCCCTTTCTCTTACTGTCTCTGTCTGTGCCCCACTGGGATGTACCAGCTCCCCTGTACTGGCGATGGTTTTCCAGTCTCCTTGAAGAGCTGCTCCAGCAGCTACCCTGAGGTGTTCTTTACTACTCACATTGCCCTGGCCAATTCCTTACCCTTCCAACACTCCTACTAATTTCCATCTTAATACATAGCTTCCCAAATGGCACTTTATCAACTGCTCAGAGACTCAAAGGGAGTAATGCACGGATACAGTAGCTCTTGTCTGGAAGATCAGTTCTCTTATCAAAGAAAGCTAACAGGTCAGGCTGACATGGTTGACTTTGGGTAAACTCTGTTGCATGTTATCTCATTTTCTATTTGCTTCCACATGGGTAAGTGCCCATCCCTTCAAAGTTTCTTTCAAAGACTTTCATCCCACCAAGGTGAGATTAATCTAATCTGTGGCTGTCCTGGTCTCACCCTTACTCTCTACTTGTTTTAGGTTTGCATAAAAATGGAGTGTGTCACTTGTCCTAATATTTGTGCTTCTCCAAATCAGAGGCTGCCTTCCTTTCCTGCAGAGGTTTTCAGCAGTGTTTTGCCTCAGGCTTTTAGCAGACACCAGCAACAACCAAAAAATCCTGCAACCACCCTGATAACAGGATGGTTTCAGTACTTAATGGGGGCCTGCACTTAATGGGGAGGGACTCTTTATCAGGGGATGTAGAGACTGGATAAAGTTTTAAACTGAAAGAGGGTAGATTTAGATTAGATATTAGGCAGAAGTTCTTCCCTGTGAGGGTGGTGAGGCACTGACAAAGGTTGCCCAGAGAAGCTGTGGCTGCCCTATCTCTGGCAGTGTTCAAGGCCACATTGGATGGGGCTTTGAGCAACCTGGTCTAGTGAAAGGAGTTTGTGACAATGGCAGGGGTGTTGGAACTGGATGAGCTTTAAAGTCCCTTCCAACTCAAACCATTCTGTGATTCTATGAACATATGCATACACAGAGCCAGACTTGCAGTAGACTTTCTGCAAAAGGAGGTGGCAAGTGGAAACTAAGTCTGTGCCGAGACTTTACTGGCAAGGGGTATTTTGCTAGCTGAGGAAAGCCAAAATGCTAATGTGCAGTGAGATGCAGAAGAAAGTATGGCATAATTTCTCCTGTCCAGACATTGGGAGGTAATATATCGTCACTGGCCACATGTCCACTTACTTGTAATATTTATAAAGATTCCCATTGTCTTGTAGCTGAGTCTCAGGATAACAGGTTTGTTCCCTTCTGAGGCATGGAAATTAGCCTTTTTTTCCTATTTTAAGGGAGAAAAAAGAAGGCATGGGGACAAGATTTGTGTCATGTAATATCATACTAGCATAAATACACAGAATAGCTATTTTAAAATTTTTAGCTGCAATCTTCATTATGCACCATTTTTCACAGTGCAGTGAAAATTGCTTACTGTTACCAAAAATATAAAGTAGGTTTCCTGGCAAGAGAAAAAAAATCCCACAACCCCAAAGATGGTTTCACTTACCTTTTCTAATTAGCAAAATACTTTTATAGTCAAAGCACACCCCTTACAGACATTACTGTAATCTGTAAGCACAAAATATGCATTTTAATTAATTTTAAGGTGTTTTTTTGCAACAGATCTTCCATATTCAATATACCCAACCACATCAATGCATTTAACATTATGAAATGGTTGGCTTTCAGTTTTGCTCAGAGTTTTAGAGATGCGAGCTACTCAACCATCCCATAGAAAGCACTG